ACAAAATTAAAAGATTTTTGGGTTAAGAAAGTATATTTAATAAAATGAGTATATTTGATTTATTTTAAAATCTATATGTAATAGAAGACGATCATTGAATTGATCAAATCGAGCGTGGAGGGGGAGTAAGGGGGCGGCCTGAAGTAGCTTTTAAGCTAACAGATGTCTAAAAATGTCCAAATGTTCCTTTATCTGTGTTTTTTACTCTGCAGGCAGTAACGTGACGTTGACGAGTCCAAAATAAGCTGAATGTGTATTTGTGGAGCTGCACAAACACACAGATGTTAAAGAAACTACAAACGTCACGTCTGCTTAAACACAAGTCAACGTATTTTCTAAACTAAACAAATTTCTGACAAAAACAATAATGAGAAAAAACTGATATTAATGTAATCCTGCGAGTATGCTCATTATTAGTTACTTTATTTTACCTTTCAGTGTTAAACTTTTGCTCTTTAATGTTACTCTTATGATTCCCACAGAAAGTTTTTTATGTTTTTATATTTTTTAATTATTTATTTTTTTAATGCGTCAAATTTACCCGACGTGTTCGATTCCTCTGTTCCTGCTTTTGTCTGTTTTAACCTGATCACACAAACTTGATTCTCGTCAGTTTTAATTTTTCTTGTAAGTAAATTTTTGTCAAATTGAGCTTCGAAGAACCGACGGCTGATTTTTAATCAGCTTCTTTAAGAAAGTTTCTCACTTTCAAAGATTTTGATTTAATTTGTAAAATATTTTCTTTAGTTTGTTTGTCATGACTTCAGCTCCTCAGTGTATGGATTTCATAATATTATGATATATTAAAAGTATAACTCTCCCGGCGTTGCCCCAGTAAGACAAAACCAGTTACTCATTATTAGCTCATGTTTCTTAATTTTGCCTTCATATGTAACAATTTCACTTCATAGACACAGTTTTAACGTACTACGTTTAAAAAACTAAAAATGAAACTTTGTTTACTTTGATACATTTTTTAAAAAGTGGCTACATTTATATTCGTGTTGTTTTGTGAGCTGTTTGATGTTTGTCGTCTCACAGGTTCAGACTCGAGTCTTACGCTGAGCTGTGAGCGTCGGCGCTGAACCTGTTTGTAAACTCGCTGCTGTCCGTGTGCTCGTTTATACGTGACTCTAGTATTGCAGTTCTATGTGTGATGTCTGTAGGTGACACCTTTGATAATGTTTTTATGGATTGATTTTGACAAACTGAGTCTGGTGAACAAGTCGTGTTTGTACTTTTGTATTCAGAGGTGAAAGTGAAGTCGCCGGTCTTCCACGCCAGTTTGTGATATTGTCATGTGTGATTATCCCAGTGGGAGGAGAAGTTGTGGTTTATTGTTGTGGAAACTGTGGGATTTGACCTAAAGATGATTTGAGCGTTTGGAGGCTGATGCTGACAGTGGTTGCTTTTTAAAGATGTTATCTCAGGAAGATCAGGTGGAATCTGAGAATCCGAAGGCTGGACTGGGTGTGTGGCTGTTATAGGAATTAATTTGGTCTTTCTGTGGGTATAAATTAGTGCTCAACTCAAACCTGATTGGCTGCAAAAATTCAGAAATGAATCAATAGAGTCTGCGTGAAATAAACACCAGAACTGAAGATCAGGTGCAGGGCTGCAGAGTTTCAGGGTTGAGCCGACGGGTCGAACGTTTCAGAGTCAAAGTGGCTTCAGGACTGACTTGAGTATTTTACCGTCTGTCTTAAGACAGAAAATGTAGGAGGAGTTAATCCAGGCGGCGATTTATAGAAGTGTGTCTGGAGTTGGCTGTAAAATCTTTCACCCAGTCTAAGATGATAATCTGGTGTCAGGTGATTGACGGGGTCTCAGTCATACCGGCCTACAGACCCTTCAGTGACCATTTGACCTTCAGTCGCTGGAGGAAATGTGTCCCGCCTGGAGGGTTGGATGAGTGCTTGACACTGTGCGACTGCTTTGGTCACTGACCACAGTCGCCCGTGGATACGAGTGGAAGTCCTCCACACCAAGAGGGAAACGGCTGCACGATTGGATTAAAGTAAAGTCTGAGACACGAACACGTGGACGTCGATGGCTGCACAGTTTTGACTTGAATTTTAAGTCGCACAAATTGGGAAACCAATATTTGTTTTTCAAATGTAGGACAGGCAGCAGGTCTGGATCTGCGCACAACCCTGGAAAACAATCGTCCTTGTGCTGTGAGATTGCACTTTATGAATTTGTGTAAGTATATAAATGTGAGCAGATTTCTAAAAGAGAGGATTCGATTACAGCTCGGGGGGCATCATTTATTTATCACTTAAAGTTCTGCGGTTAAAACTGTGCAATCTGAACCAAAACATCCGTTCATCGTCCAAAACTTTAGTCAAAGTTGTTTGTAGTTAACGGGTTTGTGCTTTGAGACGACGTGTTTACGACGGTGGGGCCAGGGCGTTTGGCGTTCTGACTCCGTGTGCTAACAGGCCGGCGTAATTAGACAGCATCTGATCCAAGTTTGGGATTATTTGCATTTCTGAAAAAAGAAAAAACTGAAAATGTAATTCCCAAGAATGTTCTTCGTCCCATTTTCCTGAGATTACAGGTAATCGGCAACCACAGCAGTGCTCGGGTCGAGTGCACGTATCTACGTTTGTTTCCCTGAAGTACAAATTAATGTGAAATTATAGAGATCAGCTGTTTGTTTTTCTTATTACAGATTAATTTAAATGTGAACTAAAAAAGAAAAATCACAAATATTTGTGTTCAAACTGATGAAAACAGGTTTGTCCCAAACTTCATGTTGTCCACATGTTCGTGCCGTGAACACGACTTTTACTGAGCTCTTATTAAAACATACGTTTAAAAAGATATCTAGATGGATTTAAATATATATATATATATATATATGTACTTTAACTGTCTTTGAGAACAGATGTGTAGTTACAACCTGATGTTATATTTCATGAAGCTTTTTTCTAATTGTGCAATTTTTGACAGCATGATTGTGAAGAAATGATGACATGTAGGTGTAAAAGAAATGACTGACTTTACATTTTTATGCAATAAAATGTTACGGAAACTAAAATATTCAGTGTTTATAGCATTATTGTGTGTGTGTGTGTGTGTGTGTGTGTGTGTGTGTGTGTGTGTGTGT